CTCAAGAGCTTAGCTTGCGAGGATGGGGTGCCGCCTGCACCGTGTTGGACACAGTAGAGCGGCTCCACAACTTTACAGGAATAAAACACACTTTAAACGGGGCTCTGTGGTTAATCTCTTGGAAAGGGAGCAAAAATGAGGCGACTGCAGGCTTCCAGGCCACTCCAGAGGGCAGCTCTGAGCACCAGTGATGTCAACATTAAGCCAGGCACCCGGAGTGGCAGAGGACCCTGCTCCTGACAACTCCCAGGCCTGGGAGGGGAGTTCCACTGGATGATTCCTAAGGTAGCTTCAGAGGCTAGAATTCCATAAACATTTTCACTAGCGAAAATAAAATTCTTTAAATGAGTTAACAACATAAAAGTTCCTTTAAAATGCTAAGTGTGATACTTGGAAAACCTAAAACCCCAGGAATTCAGAACTCTCATCTTGATCTGTTATTTTTAAGTACCCTTAGTTTTAGTGCCTTGGTTATTTATGTCATTGGGTAATGTGGAGAATGTAGAATCAAACTAGGCCAGCATTAGTTCAGCACCACTGCCACCTGGACAGCAGATTTCTTACACAACTTGCTTTCTGGGGGCTCACAGTCAAAAGGAAACTTTTGAGAGATCAATTTTTCACCCACAACCTAAGAGGGAAACCAGAGGAGAAAGAGGCTAAAATTTGAATGAAACTTTGAACACAAGAGAAAAAGTGCAGCTCTCCCTTGTCCATCTAGGTGACAGACATCAGAGCAACAAACTGGTTATCTCCTTAGAAAGGCAATTCCACGCCTGGCCACCTGGCGCTGCTGGTCACTGCACACACACTGGGCTCCGACTCACTCTGCAGTTCCTTTGTTTTATTATTCCAAATTGTATTTGTCCAGAACACTTGTCCATTCATGGCTGTGAGACCCTTTAAGTCAGAGTTTATAGACAGCCCCTCTGTGTGAGTGGTTCATCTTGGTGTGGCAGGTGACATTCAGATAAGAGAAATGTCCCCCGGTGACAGATGCAGCGTTCTCTGGCTCTTCTCTGGTGCACATGGCGATGGGTACACTCGCCAACACTAAAGCCTCTCTGAGGATGAGGTTGTCCCTGTTTCTATTCCCACACATTTCCCTCACTTACCCTGGAGTCTGTCGCTGGAGAATAAGGTGCCCATTCAAAGTAAAGCAAGGTGGAGCTTTTCACCCACAGAGACACATGTCTTTGTACCAGGCACCACTGTCTGTGTCCTTGGAATCTAATTTGAGTAAATTTATCTCAGAGCACTGAAAATTCAATTAGCACTTGCTAAAAGAGGTTGGGAGGAATGGAAGGAAAAGGTCAGCGCTGTGAGGCAGCGTTTCTGGCCCCGCATGCAAATGAATAGGCCCCTAAAGGGTTGGAGCAGGTGGGCCCAAGAGCAGGATCGGGTGTGGGAGGCTGTGCCCTGGTGACTCTCTCCTGACTCCTCTCTCTTTTCCTTTCTTAGGGAGGAAGAGACAGCCGCTCCGGATCACCTATGGCTAGACGCTGAAGCCCACCCTGTCCCTGCAGAACCCTGTCCTCAGCTTCTTAATTTAACTGCCTAAACTTTAATACCATTTGCATCTCAATTATCTAGTTAGAGCAGATGACCCCACAGCTAATGCCGGTGGAGTGCGCGCAGTAGGTCAGGCACACAGCATCCTCCTGGCAGCTGTGGCCAACAGTGAAATGGAAAACGAAAACAGAAAATGGGTAAAACTGTCACTTGACATCTTCCTGAGTATCCACCCCACTGCTATCATGTCCCCAGATGCACATCAGTCTCCATAGGTCCAAGTGCATGGATGTCCTCTACCCCTGGACTTCTCTTAGCCTTGACTGTGCACCCTCGAGCTTCCGGTGGGCACTGCCGCCAGGCACAGCGCTGCAGAGACAGAGACATGCGGGCAGGAAGGACTGTTGTGATCCAAGCTTCCTTTGGTTTTCTTTTCCTGCCCCTTCTCTCACCTCCTCAAGTATACTTTATTTTTCCTAACAGGATTAGACAGTCAAGGAGTGGCTACTACGCATGGGAGCTTTTGGCATGTGAATGTGGGCCCGGGCAGCTGTGAGTCCAATGCGGGGCAGCACAAGAGAGGGGGGTGTGCCCCCAGGCCGGGCTGCCCCGCACCCCCTTAGCTGAATTCGAGCGTGGCAGAGAGAGGAGAAGGCGGCGGGCGTGGGGTGGGTGGTGGCCTCACCCAGGACACGAACGGCCTTGGAAGCAGGTGCTGGAGACACTATGCGTGTGGCCACTGGGTGTCCCTGTGGCTCCGCACAGGGACAGACAGAGCCACTTCTGTGAACAACCTGTTTCCTAACCAAAGCCCAGGCCAGCAGAGAGTCCAGGCAGAGGGGCACATCTCTGGCTCCGCACAGGGACAGACAGAGCCACTTCTGTGAACAACCTGTTTCCTAACCAAAGCCCAGGCCAGCAGAGAGTCCAGGCAGAGGGGCACATCTCAGAGCAGAGCAGCAGTTCTCTGTGGCCTCGCAGTGTCACACTGGTCACTCCTCAATGCCAGCATGACCAGTGGCATGCTCGCATGGCAGCGCACATTGGCCAACACTAACCCTTGGAGAGAAGATAACTGTCTCATCTGCTTGCCTCCTAGAAATGACCGTCCCTAGAGAATAGATTAGGTGTTCAGAGCAGAGCAGCAGTTCTCTGTGGCCTCGCAGTGTCACACTGGTCACTCCTCAATGCCAGTATGACCAGTGGCATGCTCGCACGGCAGCGCACATTGGCCAACACTAACCCTCGGAGAGAAGATAACTGTCTCATCTGCTTGCCTCCTAGAAATGACCGTCCCTAGAGAATAGATTAGGTGTGCACCCATTCCTGACCCACTGACCCAGCCGCGGCTGGACCTGGGCAGCCGCGTGAAGAGTCAGAAGGAGTTCTTTGAACCACACTCTCTTCTAACCCTGCTGACACCTCCTTGAGCTCTTCCCTCCATAACGTACTGATGCCCACCTTTTGATTTTGGCATATATTTTACAGGCCTTCCAAAGAGCCCCCACACTGGCATCGCTCCCCCTAGAACGAAGAGCATAGTGCCAAAATGCGTCTGTTTAATCCCATTCTAATTCTGAATGTTTACTGTGGGTTTAATATGATGTCTATTAATATATAGCCTCGATGATGAGAGGGTAAGAATAAAAATCAAAAGGAAAAAAAATTCTGGAAACAAACCTCCACATTGTTCAACAGGAGCACTCTGCAACTTTGCAGTGATTGCTGGCTGTGTGATCTCTATCCGTGGCTGGCCCCAAACAGCACGTGCTGCGGGGGGGTCCACGGGAAGTACACTGCTCTTGAACATTGAAATAAAATAATAAATTTCCATGACAGTTGCATGAGTGTGTTATTTTGTGTCCTAGTGTATAGCCCACATAAAGTGATAACCACATCTGGAGAGGTGACCTCGCCGTCGTGAGCCTGCAGAACCCACTTGAGGGGTGTGTTTTCACAACATGGTTTATGCACCAATAAAAGAAAGTGGAACCAAGGAACTGTTAGGGCATTGATTCTCCAACTCACAATGAAAATAAGTTTCAATTTATCTGAAGATGAGCTTTTGAAGTGTTTACATTTTGTTATTTTCCTAGTGTAAACACCCTGTTAATGTGAAGTGAGGAATCTTGGAAAAATTACTCCTTATCACATTTTTTGCTGGCAGAGACATGGACAACACTAAGTGATTTTTCTGCTCTTTGGTGACAATAATTTGTAATATTGGGAGTTAGAGCTTCAAATTATACAAATTTTAGGGGGACACAATTCAGTCCATAACAGGTGTATATATATATTTTTGTCATGCAACAACAAATACATCCTGTCCCTCATTTGGCAAGATGTTATAATTAATACCAAGATTCTTCAGTACTCTTGCCTTTTCCTGAAAAGGTACCATGAAGTGAAGTGCATTAGTATATTTTTCTATCGTGATTACTCTGTTGCCAATATTGAAATTCTAAATGGTGTGATATTACGGCAGGGCTGACCAAGCACAGCCCCATGAAGGCCGTGTGGCTTGTTAACCACCGCACTTTACTCCAGGAGACACCAGAATGACCTTCTCCAGCAGCATTTGCTCTGGCAGTAGAAGCAAGCATCTGATCAATGGAAACACGCTGGTTTCAATGACACTCTCGTCCTCTCATCCCCTCCCAGACAGCTGCGACCTGGTCTCCTCAAGGTGGGGCCAGGGCCCTTCCTCTCACAGTCTCTTCCAACCCAACTTTCCACCACCGTGAAACAACACGCATGTTCATCTAGCTCCAGAACCTTACAAACTCCTGGAATCCATTAATGGGTCAAGACCCAAGAGTGTCCACAAAATAACTAATCCTTCCACTATACCCAGCACTGGCCAGGGCCTATTCAGTTCTAAGCCCAATTCCAGCTTCTGATTTAACACTAATGTGAAGACGGGAGAAGATACAGAAAACGCTGTTAGAAGTGGCCCGCCTGCCTTCCTGAGCACACAGAATACCTAAATCACTAGGACAGTGCCTCTGCCACAGAAGTCGGGCAGCTCCCTGGTCTCCTTGGAGACTCTTTTACCTGCAACTTAGCAAATTTCAACGCGACTGCAAGTGCAGTTTAAAAAGCTGGGGTCCCAAGACGCTCAATAGTGAATGTGGTTTTTATAGGGGACAACTGTCCTTCCTCCCCTCAGGAGGGCAATGACCGACAGGGCCCCCTGTGTGAGGGGCCATCAGAGCAGGGAGCTGGCCCAGTTGGGAGACCAGGGACAGACGGAGGGAAAGGGCGAGGAGAAGAAGGATTACAAGGGGTCGGAAGGGGAGGGCGGTACAGACAGGGAGAGTGTGGAAGCCTGTGGTGCTGGCTGGAGCTGGAGCACGTGTGCGAAACAGTGGTTTCATGCAGCAACGGAGAAATGAGTTAGAAACATGCACATGTGTGGGCACACGAATGTACACGCTCACACACATGCACATGCACACACACACACACATACATGCATACACACACTCTCGCAGTCTTTCCTAGCTGTCCAGTTGCTGGGGTGTAGTGAGCTCTTGGTTTCTAAATACCACTCTCCTCTAAAGGGAACCAGGGACCCCTGGAGAAATGGCTGATTCCAGGGCTGGAAAAGAGAACAATTTTTTTTGTGCCAGAAAGTAAGAAAACGCTCAAAGGATCAAATGGCCATATCAGAGGACTCAAAAACTACCTTGAAGGAGCTCCACCAGGTCAAGTCTGGGATTATCTGAGAATCCAAATAAGAATTCTAATGGATGGTAGCCACTTGAACAAAATAGAAACTCATGAGCCCCAGCCAGTACAAACACGAAATATATAAGTGGGGCAGAAGAGGAAGCATTTCCTGAGAGCAGAATGCTGACTAATAAATGCAGGAGGAGGATCCAGCTAGAAAGTCACCAGGCCATCAGGCAAGGTCCTGACGAGCCGCAGCTCCAGTGCTGAAGACTGAATGAGGCATGTGCCTCACAAACACTTCCTGCTCGCGGAGGGGAAACGACCTAGGGGAGGAAATCCAGCACTGTCTTAATCGAGTGATGAACACGCACACCATCAAGAATGGGAAACACGTACACTGTGTGTCACCTTGAGATGCCACTAGAACTCAGCATCATCGCTCTTGGTGTTCCCCCCAAAAGGTAGACAGCCTGGCGCAATCACATGACAACCTGCCGAGCAGCTAGCTGCCTGTGGTTTTCAGAACGTCAGGGAATGAGCGCCGCCACGCAGCAAGGGAGCTGCTCTGCTCCGTGTGCAGATCATGGGCATGGCGGCAGCTGGGTGTGCTTGCTAGGAAGATGCTATTATCCAGACACCTGGCAACACCTGAGTGGGATCTGGGGTGATGAGTACATAGAGAACTCTCTGCACTATTCCTGCAACTTTTCAGTAAGTTAGGAACTGCTTCAAAAATAAAGATTATGGAAAAGGGATAAAGACTTTGAATTATTAAATTGACAAACATGATTGAAAGAGAATTCAAAAAATTGTATGATGGAGAGTACATTGAGACAGATGACCAGCTCTTGTCCGTCTTCACCCAGGACTACTAAAAAATTGGCCAAGGTCACATCACAGTGAGCAGTATTGTGTTAAATGTAAAGATTTCTTTCCTATAGCATTTGGTTACCAGGGTAACCAATGATTACTTTGTTCTGATTTATACTAAAATAGCAGCATAAAACTATCTCTTGGTTCGCGGAGAGTAACAGAATTGGGGAAACATCTGTTTACTGGTAGAAAGGCATGTGTGAGGTGGGTTTTTGGGTGTACACACTATCATTTTTCACTTTTTCCTTAGGGACTAGAGAGATTTAATACTTTAAAGGTACTAGGTAACAATAAAAGCTCCTCGATGATAGGAATATCACTATGGATGGTGTGGAATAAATTAATCATTAACATTTGTAAAAAAAATTTCCATTCATTTTGTAAGCTGGGTCAGGGATGTCCCCAGGCCTCCAGAGTGAACTGACAACACAAAGTCAACAACAGTGAAGACTCTTAGGCTCTATCCCACTTTCCTTCCAAGAAAGCCTGCCTATTTCCAGATGCTGGCAGAAGGCATGAGGCTCCTGGCTCAGAGACAAAGGGGTTTATTACTCATAGTAATAGGAGAGCAAGAGTACCAGCATCTGTGTTGATAGCTCAGCCCCCATTCCTGAGGATAACACAAAGTGGGTCTGGGATTCCCATACACACAGTGCTGGGCTGTGCTGTAGAGGAGGGACCTGCGTTTACGGGGCCTGGATCCCTTCTGACAGTGTGCACCTGCCTGACCTTTGCCCTGGAGTGAGACATTATCTTGATTATACTGATCAACAAACAAGCATCCCTTCGCTCTGGAGGAAGAAGCTGTCCTGTCCAGGATGTGTTCTACACAAGCAGCCTTGAAAAGATCATCTGGAGCAAGGAAGGCCAGTGCTTTGCTCATAAGACATGCAGAATGCATGACCCACAAAGCTGTCTCCAAATATTTCACAGCCCATTGACTGCAAATAGAAGTAGGAGGTAGAGCTGAGAAGGAATAAATTGAATCAAATAATTTTATAGACAAGGAGACAAGCCTAGAGAATTTGGCTGGCCTAAAGACAGACTGCCGTTCAGTGTCAGGCTGATCTGAAGGTCCCAAGTCCCCATACTTCTCAGGTTTGCCAGTGCACAAGACACTCTGTATGTTTATGACTTTAATTGTGTTTAAATGACTGCAATCTATATTTTATAATAGAGTTAAACATTTTTGAAAAATTCATATGGAAAAGCATTTTAAATAGTTGACACAATCTGCTGTAGTGGGAACAAAGTTTCTATAATCTGATAGTTAAAAGAAAAAAAAAATCCCCTTCCCCACCCATTCTATTTCAAAAACTATTAGAGCAATATGCTTCCTACAAACAAACAAGCAGCAAGAACAGCAAAACAATCTCATACCATGCCTGCTGAGCCACGTCCAGGAAGTCAAACTCACTTCTGGTACTTCAGTCCAGAAATGTATGGAGTCCCTACTGCATGCTGGGAATTAGGTGATGTAAAAAGGATAATAAGTCTCTAAAACTATAAACTCCCAACAATTTGGAAATGCAATACATAGTAAAATATATTAATATATATTTTTAAAGGATTAAAATGCTTTAAACTGATTCCATTGGTATTTCTGGGAAAGTCCAATATCCCACATACCTCATAAATGGATAAACTGATACTATAATTTTCATTTGAAGTCACTCTTAAAATACCTTTCAGACAAGAGAAAGCAGAGAACATACTTGAGGAGGAAAACATGACAACCTCACACTATCCAAACCCCATTGGTTCGAATTTATTGCAAATTCAGCACTCTGTTGTACTGCTCTAATCCACGCTGAACATGTTACCTTGAAAAAACACTCCATCTTTAAACAGTTATAACTCACCCGAAACCCAAATAAGTAAATATACAGGAGTTTTAAAATAATACAAAAACTATTTTTATTATTTTTAAGCCAGCATAATGGCTTTTGGCATAACTATCCCATTTCTAATACAAAATTGGATTAAATAAATATCATCCAATGTATAAATAGACCATGAAACAATTTTGAAGACAAAAAGAGAACTCTTCTGTAAATAATAAAAAAAATTAACCCTAAAAATTTTCTTTAGTGGTGAGTCAAGAACGATCACTTAACGTCATTTTAGAATTTGTCAAATACAATACAAATCTTGAAATACAAAAGTCTTCGTGCTGTAAAGCGTTACTCATATAAAAGATTAAATAGAAAAATCTTTTACAATTACTGCCTATTACTCCTGCCATTTATACTAACTAACCTTTATTTGTTAGTGCTTTAAATATTCATTAGTCATCCTGTGAAAAGCTACCACAACGCCCTCTGCTGGCTGGGTGTGTGTGTGTGGAGTGAGTGTGCTAGTCTGCCCATGGGGGTGTCTGATGAGGAGGATAAACACTGACCAGATATGACACGTGGTTTACGCACCCAACCACGGCCAAGAAAACGTCCTCACTGCGGAGATGCAGCGCTCCCAACCTCGCAAAAAATTCTGTTGTTCCCACTTTGTAAACAGTGAAAAAGGTACAACTAGATTTCAAAATGATATTCTTCACTAGAATAAGGTAAAGATATAGAGGCCCCAGATAGATATGTGACATTAAATTGGGTTATGTATGTAGGCACTTCTGAAATTTTACTCTAAAAAGCCCAAAGAACCTACTTTACATAAACAGAGTAAGTGACAGAAAGAGGAGCTCTCGATTCAGAAGCATCAGCTATGTCATCTCATCTCTGCCTCACTTAGGGTAAGTTAGCAATGACCAACCCTTGGATTATCACGTTTTTGGTGGTTGGAGGGTACAGTATTAACTTCGAAATAAACTTCAGGGAAAAAAAATTATGCGATCTCATCTCTGCCTCACTTAGGGTAAGTTAGCAATGACCAACCCTTGGATTATCACGTTTTCGGTGGTTGGAGGGTACAGTATTAACTTCGAAATAAACTTCAGGGAAAAAAAATTATGCTAAAAGCAAGGCATGATATATCCCTATAAACAGTGACCAGAAAGCAGTTCTATCTCTCTTACGTATTTCCTTATTAGAAATATGTTACTTACATAAATCAGTGTGATGGCCATTTAATTTTAAAATGTACTTCAATGAGTTACAAATACTCTTCTAAAAAGAGGAAAATCCATAGGAAGAATAGAAATCCACTTTCAGTTTTTAAAATCTTGCACCTGTACTAACGCATCTCCTACAAATAAATAAGAGTTCGGAGGAAGACAGAACACTAGCTGTAATTTTAAAACTCAGATTTCCTTAAAAATGATGATGGGAGAGGGAAGTACAAAATGGTACTAAAGAAACATTCCCTAGTGAAACGCTAATATGTGGGAATTCCTTAGCCTAGATGTGCCACGTTCCATCAAAACAGCTCTGCTGGGAAGGTAGACAGGAGGGTTCGAGGAGCCTCCTCCCACTGGACTGGCTGCAGGCTGGCTGACCATTCCTCACCAGATTTTGTCTACCTACGTAACTGGTCTAAACACCTCGAGTATCTAAATGGGGCAAAAGTAGAGCTTGTTGGGGGTGGGGGAGCACTTGAGTTTACATTTTTGAAAACATGTTTTCATTTTAATCTACTGCCATTCTATGAATATATAACCACTTAACGCATTATCTAACTGGTTGGATTCTACACCCCTGCAACCTCAACAGCATATAAGCTACATCCCAGTTTTAAGTTTAGTATCTTTGGAAAGGTAATCCATTCTTCCAGCTTCACAGTTACTTGACTCTGAAAGCAGCGATGAACTTTCAAAAGGCACCTAAATGGTGAGGTGTTGTCTAATGGGGGGCTGATGAGTACAAGCCAGAGCTGGCACCTGGATAGAACTATGCTAACACATGACCGACTGCTGCTGAGCCATATGCAGATTTTTTAAGTTTGAAGCTTTTCAAACAGACATTGCAAGGGTAAACTTTCATTGTCTGAACTTCACAAAGATATAGAGAAATATCATTAAAGTTCTTTTCTGTTAAAAATATCTGAACTTGTAATTAATTCATGTGCCAAACCATCTTATCTTAAATATTTTTAAAGGAAAAAAATTAATCACATTTCCTAACTCCATTTTTTATTTATAGTTATTCCAAAGCAGATATGTTATGATGAAATAGTTCTAAAAATACAGTTCTATATTCTCAAAACCCTGGTTTTGCATGAAGCTAGAAATCTCTTTTCTAAGATTTATTAATCAACCAGTAAAACATAAAGGTCAACCAGTACACCACAAAGATTCAAGTGAAATTACCTTTTCAAAACCTTGTATTTTTCAAGGAATGTTTTGCAATGAAGCAGCTTTTGTAATTAGGAAGTAAATCAAAATAATACATAAATGTCTTGTGTTTTCCTGCTAATAAGTTGATAAAAAACAAAAGTGGATTATGAACTCTTTTTAACCAAAATAAAAATAGGCTTTAGATTCACCTGTTAAGGCCTTACTTAAATAGGCAATTAACCAATATCGTTCACTAACCTATGCTTTCAATACAATTAGGAATTAACCCCCTTTGAGAGATGTCCTGAGATGACATTTAATGCTAAAAGCAAAATAAATAACCCAGCAAAAACAAAAACTTAAAATTCCAATAATTTCAACCTTGGGGATATTTGTTCACCAAAATTAATCAACATTTCTAAAATATTTTAATACAAAAGCATAAGAAAAAGTGCATTAAAAGGAGAACCTTTAAAACTCTATACAATTACAATTGTGAATACACTGATGACAGCAGGTGCACACGCTGACATTCAGGGGAAACTCAGGATTTATAATAAGTCCAGTATCACAAGAATAAGTCAAATAAGGCTTTTTTTTTCTTAAAAAAATATACAATACACAAAGCCGTTTGGGAAAAAAAAGTAATATTATTTAACAGTTTTCTGACTTAAATATTTTCACAAAAGTTTTCACCATCGATATCACTTATATACATATGCCAAAAGTGAACAAAACCACAAAATCAAATGATGCCCTTTCAAAGTAACAGTGAAATGTCTCTTTGTTTAGGAACCCAAAAATGAGCCCCTCCTTTAATATACAAAGTCCATACAATATTTATAATAAAACTACTCTCTTCTGAAACCAAGGAGGCAAGGAGAGAAAATAAAGGCAATTATCTTTCAGGAGGAAAAAAAAAAAATAAAACCCAGCTTTACATTACAATGAAAAAGATATCCATTTATCAATAAAATGAAAACAATACTGATCTGAAGTGCTCAAAGGGAGGTAAAACTGGGATGTTCTCTCTGCAACTGGGACTAGTACCTATATTTACAAAATATACTGTTCAGCCACACAGAGGCCCATATATCTGTCTATGTACATATGTATTTATATATAGAACATATAAATAATTCCAAAGGAAAAATCAACATGAAGTAAAGAACCTTCCGTCTTTGGAATGCTGTGGGAGGAACGCACGCGCATTCCGCCCCAGCACGGTGGGATTTGGTTTGGGACACGTTTAATGTGGCACCATTGATGACACTAAAAGAATTCCCTGAAATTAAAAGTACATGTCTTTATGCATGAAGAGAAAATCATGGGGTTTCTACAGATTCTTATCCTGAAACTATAAGCATACTTTTTTATTGAGGTGGATGGCCACAGTTCCCCATTCCTAGCGGACAATTCTGTCATTTCCTATTTGCAATATATGGCTTGTGCTTCTGCAGTCACTAACCCCCATACCTGGACACAGACTTATGCGGTATGTGTGTCACCAACCCGTGAGGACAGCTTGATCCTTATTTGTGGGTCCAGGTTGCTTGATTCCCCATGTTGATGCCCCAGATGCTGCATTCCCATAACTGGTGATTAGATATTTGTGATGGAGAGAGAATTGGTCCAGCCATCTCTCAAGGTATTAGTTTACATTAACTTATGGTAGACTAAAAAGAGTCAAATTCTACTAATTTCCAAAATGCACAGAGAAGAAAGTGGAAAAGCGTCTCTGTGTGTTGTAACATTTTTTCTGAACTTCATGCACCTATCTTGTTTGTTTTGTAAGCTATGCTTCTTATAACAGAAAGCATGAAGGAGAATCTTACATACGTTTGCCACGTTAACTTTCGTCTTTGCTAATACAAAGAAATCATGCTACGATGATAGTGAGATCCAGTTAATTTCTTTTTAACTAGATACACTGGCCACAGCGCAGAAGACGAAGCGCCTGCTGCAGTACCTGAGTTCAGTGATTCGTAGACAAGTGAGAACAATGTGTTTACATTTTTCCCAGTTTTGTTCCTATAAGTCTCTGAAAGACGATGATTCTTTAGATAATTTTACAGCTAAAAAACTACTGTGCTAACATTTTTAACACTTGAAGCTTTAAAACAGAAATTCCGAGTGCTTTGTTCTTCACAAAATTTAACTTCGGAAATGTTCTTAAAGGGGTGCTCTGGGCTTGCGTCAGAATACGTTGGTGAGGGTCTGCCACTCGCCCGCGGCCTCCTGTACCACCTCCTCCAGTTGCAGGGTCCGGCTCAGCTCCTCCCCGTCCTGCTCCGGGTGACCAGTGGACTCCTGCAAAGCTCCTGTAATGCACAACATGCATGACTTTTCTAATAGAAAGTGAGACAGGAAGCACTACAATACAGATATTAAAGAACAGAAGTTCCCCACAGTACTAAGCGCTCGAGCCCTTGGACTCCCCAGGAGCACCCAGATCCGCTGCACATGCTGCAGCTGTCTAGCTTCCCTCATGGAGCACAGAGCCTCACACAACTGCATAAACCAGAAACACACACCTGTGAAACTCACTGATCACACCAAGACTCTACTCGGCTAACTTCCAGCTCCTCCCTAGCAAAGCTGTTGTCACCCAGTGCTACCTAGTCTAGGCTATTTATGATCTTTCTTTCTCTAAATAAAGATAGATGGTATCACCAGCTTTGGCGTGGGAAACAAAGATAAGAGACAAGCAGCAGCTCACACCCCACACCCCTGCTCGGATGGCAGTGACACTAGTGAATCAACAAAGGTTCCCGTCTGTGGTCTGTGCCAAGTCCACAAGAGGTAGATCTCGCTACTTCCATGCACTCATCAGGCTGACCTTGACCTGGCACTTGCTGCCCCCAGAGGCTTCCAGAAACGCTGTGAAGACAGATGCCATAATGCTGCCTGCTCTGGGTGCTGACCACTTACTATGGAAAGCTCTGTCTGGTGAGGAACCAGCTGCTCAGAAATGCTGCATTTTCTCAGGGTCTGGGAGGGCCCAGATGCTCCCAATAATATATTTCTATATCCTTGCTTAAGTAAACCAGTTCAATCTGGGGGGGGGGGGAGTGTGTGTGTGTGTGTGTGTGTGTGTGTGTGTGTGTGTGTGTGTGTG